TATGTGAAGATATACATAAAGGATTAGTTCTTTTTATTGCACTCTTAGGCAGTAGTAGCAATGCTTAATCCAAACAACTATTGACACCAAGTTTATCATGTTGCATTTAGCAAATAAATTTTTTTGTAGCATGATCAATGATGAGGGGGTATGTTGCAATGTAGGGGTTTGTGTTCATACCTACTCCTTTCTTGAAAGATTCTCATTATCTAATACTTGTTATAGCAAATCACTGTAGATCTGCTGGCACTGTCAGGTAGTATAAACCTCAGCGTGTGCGTGACGCTGGCCTGTAGCAGGAAGCACCACATTCCAAAACCTCTATGCTGACATGCTCTCTGCAGGTATATTCATCCTCCACCAAATGGCAGCTATATGAGGACACATTCTTTTAAAAAAATGTATTTATTCCAATTGGTAAATTAGGCAGTTAATGCAAAGCTGCCTAATATTAGTGTGGAGAGAGCACAAATAATCCTGTCCTATAAACTAGGAGACTGTATCCTTGAAATTTTATGTGATCTGTTAATGAAAGTTTTAGCAAAATGTGCAAATACTGGTGTTGCCTCTGGTGGAGTACTAGAGCTCCCATCACAAATACATTTGATGTTCCATATCCTGCAAGTAAAGGAGCTGCTTTGTTCTATTTACTGCTTGGTCAGCACATCCATCCGATGTCCACTGGACGCTTTGCACATTTAAAAGAACTTGGGTGCTGATCCCGCAGGCACCCGCTTGAGTCACTGTGTTGCATTTCCTACCAAAAAATATTGCTCCCATACAGAAGCGTTCACATCATCAGTGCTTTGTTTGCAGCTGGAGCCAGCTCCACATGTGGCTGGGCTCTCCCAGATGCCGGCTGGCCACCCAGCCAGGGCTTGCTGTGCCGTGGCTCCGTCAGCCACCAATACCCCACAGCCCATACGGTGCTGGCTGCCAGTCAGCTCAGGCTCTTTACAGCTGAAGTGATTTAAATCACTGGTTGTGCTCATGATTCAAATGGTAAACAAGGAACTCTGAATTAAATAATTTGAACTTTTCCTAAGTGAGAGCTCATTGCCGTTGATTAGGAAGAGTAATATAGAACACATGGCTTGCAGCTAGTCACACACTTGTAAAATTTGGCATGGTTGTATATTAGCCAGAAAGCAGTACCATATCTCACACAGCTGTGGATGCAGTTAGTTAGCTCCAGAGTCTTGGGGTTTGCTTTTTAAATTCTTCAGAAAAGCTTTATGACATATTTCTATGTTAATGGAGAATGATTGTTTTTTACTTGAGATTTGTCTCATATGACACAAGGACAGAAATTAAAAGTCAACTAAAATGTGTAAAACCATGACTTGAAAATTGAAATCATATTTATAAAATGTGCTGGCCGTATTTAATACTAAAAAAAGCTTATCAAAGTGTGTTTTCTGTCTTAATCAGCGTTATTAAACAAAGGACTATTAGCTATAATTTAGGTCTCCATTTGCTACTTTTCAAGCAGCTTTACTCTAAACAGTGGATGTTACTGGCAAATTGATTTTTAAACGGATTTTTTTTTTTTTAGAGAGTTTAATCAATCATTAACAACTTTGGTTAAAATTTATGAGATTTTAAACATTCATAAATTCTGTTTGTCTTCTGATTTATGAGTCTGCAGCCTGGCTGGCAGCACCGCTGCTCCTTGCCTCCCCGGGCAAACTGGCTGTCTCATGTAATGACCAGCTTACAGGGGCTCAAATGGCACAGGATGTGCTGCAGGAATTTCAAGTTAACATTGCTGTTGTTATAAACATAAAACTTGATAAATCTCTGATAAAATTAAAAGGAAAGAAACTCTGGAAAATGAAGTAATTCTTCTATTAGTAAAGTGCTTTCTTGAATGTCAAAAGTTGCAAGTAAGTAATGCAGAGTAATCCTCCTCATTTTGGAGCTCTGTAAGGCTGTGGTAAGTGTTTTAAAAGTTTGTAATTCAGCATTTCATATGAAAATTGAGTGCCTGTGTGTGCCTCACTTGTCAAAGGAGTTTGAGGTGAAATGAAGGAGGACATTTCCCCCCCATTATAAAGCTGCACGACTGGAGCTTGTCAATGCTGTTGGCTTGCCGACCTGCCGTGGCATGAGGGACAGCATGGTGGCCCCAGCTCCCGGTGCCTGTGGCCCCAGCTCCCCGTGCCGGCTCTGGGCCCTTGGGGTGGCAGCTGAGCACATACCTGCAGGTAGATTGGGCAACAGGGAGTTCAACAGGGCAGGCACAGCCACAGAAATGCATCTTTTTTCATGAACTGGTACGAGCCAACACTGGGAAATCCTTCCAGGAGGCTGTGTCCTGGGGGTGCTTAGTCTGCTCCAGGGGGTCAAAAATCAGTCCTGGGGCTTTGCTGCCTTGTAGAGCCACCTACAGCAGAAAGGTCAAAGGCATATGTGGAAAGCAACCAACTGGCCCTTCCAAATTCGAGTCTCAATGAGAGGTCAACAGCTCATTTATCTCAAATGAGTTAAAACGCTTAAGTTTACACATCACATTTCCTTTTTTTTAAAATAATTTATCAACTAGCATGCCATCATTGTGAGTGATAGGGCTGCTGCTTGTGCCCAGGAAAACAAAATGCACTTTTTTGGGGGTTTAATAATCATAAGGTTTAGAAACATGGTCAGGTTTTGACTTTACTTTTTAATAAAGGCCCCGTGTGAATGGATAGATGTCTATCTCAAGCTCTGAGCCTCATTATCTGTTAATTTATCCACTTGGATGCATATATACATCTCCTATTGACAACAGTAGCTGCTACAAGACTCCTGAAAAAATGGAGATAGATTCATTCTACTTTTATCTCCAGATTTACTTTATATGCTTACTGCTACTTCTGCAGAGGCCAGGCTTAGTTTTAACAGTGTTTTCTGGTATTGTTAAGATGAGTTAACAGAGGAAACTTCTGAAAGTTTAGACTGCAATATATAGGTCATATTACCACTAGCAAAAGCAATTATTAGTAGAATCCACAAAAAACACAGAGCAGAGTAAAAGGTGAAATAAATTCAAAATTATTCTTCACTCAGAGAAAGTATGTATTTTTAGAGTAAAAGAGTAAGCAGCTTGGGGGAAACTTCCCTTCCTTGTATTCCTTATTGCAAACGAACTCCATGACCTTTGTGGGAGTTATGCAGCTAATCCTGTGTAATGGATGATGGAAATATTTTTAAAATGTTATGGAGACCTGCCCTTTCTTTCCTCCCAGGACAGCATCAATTTTAGCGTGTGAAATGAGTCAGGTTCAGTGAGTTACTGATAAGGAAGAGGTGAAGCAAGTGCTACTCTTTCTCAGCTGTAACATGACAGTTCCATTGTAATTTCAATTTATTTAATGTAAGTGTTTTACAGGGTTCAGCACAGCTGTCCATCCAGAAACCTGCATGGCAGCCCCTGGAAAAATGTGAAACTTTGCATATGTCTTGTAAGAAAACCATTGATTTGGTTTTTCCCTCCTGAGGCCTTGCTGGGCTTTGCAAGATCACTCCATCTTTCCTGAGTTAATTTTACATTTAAACCACTTCAGCTGCTTGATATTTGTAAATTTACTCCTCTTGATTTTAAGTTAACTGCAATGGTTAAGATCATGTGCGATGTTTGATGCAGTTCCTATATACAGTACCTGAAATTGTTCTGTTCTAAAGATGCACAACTGGATGTATAAGGATCTGAAGATTATAAAAATCTTAATAAAAACATAATTCCAAAACTATGGGATTGAGAATAATAGAAGAGAATTAGTTAAATGAATAGGAAAGAAGAGCATACGAGAGCGAGAGATCTCTCAGGCCTTTCACCTACCTCTTTTCACTTGCTTTGTGCAAAATTCAGCCTGGCAGCCTTTTCAGTTTCCATGTGGTAAACATTTTTGGGTGGTAACTCTATTGTAGTACAATTGTTTATGAATCCTGTCATAATTCTGTCAAGTGTAACTATTCATGATACAGTATTTTGTACGTGATAAGAATATATTGAGCAGTACACTTAGTATAGACCATTATATACTGTAGCTTTTAAGAACTAAAAGCATAAAAATGAATTTAGAAGCACAGTAGAGCTTGATTTGCAGTTCACTTCTACTTCTAAATTTGGATTAAAGGTATAGTTGGAAGTGAATTTAGTTTGATGGCCTTAAGTCTTAATTCTGATCTTCAACCTGAACAACTTTGTGTGCATCAGGTTTTGTTCTTTTGGTCCTGCATCTTCTCTGTTTTTATGTGTGATTTGCATTGTCACATGTTGAAGATAAAACAAAAGCTCTCCACTGTGTGCACAATTTTCTTGGTGAGAAAAAGCATCCAAGGAGGACTGGTGTTTAGGAACCGGGTATGAGGTGCAGTATGTTATCCACTGAGAGCTGAGCTGAAAGGCAATATATACAAACACAGGGCTTTGGTTGTGTTTCTTTTCCCATCTTGTTCCCTAGGATGATTGACTATTTTTGCATCTGATGAAATTTTCATGCACATTCACAGAACAGTGGGATTCTAAGGATAGAGATTAATATTTCAGTAAATACACCATGCCTGGAGGTCACTGGAATCCTTGGTGCATCCATAGAGGAACCCTGGTTGTAGGTAGCAGTTCACAGGAATGCATGGCAGGAGGAAATCCAGCTGTGGGTGGCTTGTTGTTGCTTTTGGTAAAATATGTGGATGGGGAAAGAAAGAATGCATGTGAGTGTCCTTTCCTGGAAATAAATATTTTGAGGAAAAGGTGGGTATCGAGTTAGAAAAAAGCCAATTGCATCCTGGGTTATGGCAGTAATTTTAGGGCACTGAATGTCACCTAGCGATGCCAAGGAGAGGTACCCAAGGCTGGATCATGGCTCAGCAGTGTCACTGCTCTGCCTTTTCACTTGGGGGATTGCCAGGCTCTCTCAGTCTTGTGCTTTCAACATGCCTGGTCAAGGCTGGGCTTCTGGGACATTTCATCTTCTGCAGACTCATGCGTCCATTTCTCCTGTCCCTCCCTATTCCAGAGAACAGCCCATCTTCACCACCAGAGCCCATGTCTTCCAAATTGATCCCAGCACGAAGAAGAACTGGGTTCCCGCAAGCAAGCAGGCTGTAACTGTTTCCTACTTCTATGACAGCACGAGAAACAGCTATCGGATTATCAGTGTGGATGGAGCCAAGGTAGGAGGTTGATGGTACCCCGGCATGTTTACTGTGCAGAGAGGATCGCAACTCTCGGCCCTGGCTGAAGATAGATGTAGATGGGCTAAATTAAGCACTTAAGTTCATAAATGCTCACTTTTAAAAAATATAATTCATTATGGACACTTGTAGTAATAATTGGAAAAACACAGGACACCATAAAAGTGATTTTGCTGAACTTAACTGATTTTATTTCTGACTAGTTTGACTTCACAATCTTAATGAGCCAAGAGCTTTAAGTGTCCAAACTGAGTCTGTAGTACAATATCTAAAACCAACACCTGTATTAGGTAGATAAGGCTGAGGCCTTTTTGGTGAAAAAAACTGTTCTTTTTAAAGGAAATGAGGAGACAGATATGTAAATGCCAAGTGCATATTCACTTTTGCCTGGTTAAACTGTTTACAGGTTAGCACTTAATTTTCTTCAGCTTTTGCACTGGAGTTCATCAGCCTTAGGTGACAAATTAGGCATGAAGGCTTTCCCCCTCTCACTCTTCTTTTCTTATTTTGTTTTGCATTACCAGATAGTGTGCTGAAATATTTCCTGTAAGAATCCCGATCAGTCGGATTGAATGGGTTGCTCAGACAACTGTTTCTATTACATACTAGATTTATCCCTCTGATTAGTCCCTCCAAAGTAACTTGTAAGGTGACTGCTTTCCACTAGCAGACTCCAGCCAGAGGTATAAGTTAAAACATTGCACTCGTGTACAAAAATCATGAGTCATTTCTGCCAAAGCACGCACCACAGGGTAACGAGACAAGTTTACAGCCTGTTTATCTGTGTTCCTGTTTGGATGAGGATGTTAAAATATCACTGTCCTGGGAGAGAGACACTGCAGTAATCATCCCTTAATAAAGCTTTTCTATTTGTCATGCCTATTTCACATACTTGTTTTTCCAAACATCTCCTGTGCTATATTTGGTTATATATTGGCTTATAAATCAGCCATACTACTTGCTTAAATTGATGGTAATGTTTCATTGACATCGGTACAGCATTAATATATCACCATCATTACGCTGTTTGCGCTGGTGTGTTCACTTCCAGAAATGCCAGCTAACCGCCCCAGCTGCATCAGTCTGCAGTCAGCCCACACAACCCCTGCAACTTATTCGGTAAAGCTGAGACCCCCAAAATTTGCTTACACCCCACAGATACCCATGCTCTTGCCTGGGTGAAGCTGGTGCTGGTGGTAGTGGGATGTTGGCTTTACAAAGCCAGGCAAGCGTGACTTCGAAGCCAAAACTGCTGTACTCACAGCAGTGGGTTGGTTGATTTGTGGATGTGCATGCATGCATTAAGACCAATTAATGAAAAAAAGTAATTACTGTATGTGGCAGGGGGAAGCTGCAGGGGCAGCATATGCTCACAGCCAGAGGTCCTGCCCAGAACTGCAAAGTGTATGCAGAGAACAAGATGGGCATCCAAGCTTTGCTTTGTAATCTGCCAAAAAGACATTCAGAAGGAACCACCCCTCCATTTTAGCATGCCCCAGAAGAAGGTGAGCTTTCCATGGTTAAAATTCTCCCCTGGGGCTTCCTGAGTAAGAATCAGTTGCTGGCCACATGAATTATTCCTCTTGTATTGAACCTTTGCTGATTAAGGAACAGGTCAAGAAGAGATGCTGCCTTCACGCTTGCCTCTGGAGGGTCCTTAGTTACCCTGCCTGTCCGATTTAAGAGTGCTGATTTGGGAGAAGAAGGGTGTTTATACCCAAATAAGATAAAAGATGCTTTTCTCCCTCAAACAACTATTGTTTAGTGTCTTGACCTACTTTTCTAGACAAAAATTAAACTGGGTAGGACTGTGAGGAAGAATATTATAGACAGCATCAGTTGGTGTTGTCCTGTTTTTTGTACATCTCACTTATTAGAGTCTTCCGTGTGTTGGCAAATATCAGATGGATTAGCATCATGGCATCACTGCGGGCAGAAGTTATCTCTGTTTTAAAAAAAAAAGCTAAAGCTCAAGTATATTAACGCACTTGGCCCTAAAAGGAAGGTCACGACGAAGGATGTGTATCTCTTACAATTCTCTGTCCTTGTCTGAACTGCAACAGGGCTGCTGTACCAGGGGTTTTTTTAGAAAAGCATATATGGTACACAGTGGCTTGCAGAGAAATGTCACTTAAATCCAACTTGTATGTAGCTGTTGGATTAATTTTTTTTTTTTTTACCTTATGTTGACATTACATAGTAACAATAAAAATATTTTAAAGTGATCAAGAATACAGAGCACTTCACTTAAACATTGTTCATTACCTGGCTGCAGAAGTTTTATTTTACTTCTAGCATTCAATGTATTGCTCTGGGCAGTGTGTTGAATTGCAAGTACGTGGAGTAGCATAGGGCTGCTGAAATCCATTAGCGCTGCTGTTGTGCAGAACATGGGACAGGCTGTGTAACGTCAACCAGATGAATATTTAGTTTCCTCCTGGTGCACCACCAACGCGATGGGCTGTAATTCTCGCAGCAGTGGCTTCCTCAGGCTGCTGCTGCTGTCCTCAAAGGCCTGGACCCTCCTCAATCCCCTGTCATTCAGCCCCATCTTCTCTTCTGCCAGCAGGCATAGCCTGTCACCCTTCTCCTTCTTGGCCCCTGTCCCTTGTCCCCAAACCCCCTGGGCACAGGAGGAGTGCGGCAGGGCAGAGGGGAGTGGGAGGATTCAGAAGTGTGCTGAAGGGGAGGATTAAGGGAACCACTGATCCCATGTGTTTAAAGGTGTAAATATTGGGAACTCATTTTGTGAGCATGGCTGGCAGGGGCAGGGGTGTTGCTTGGCTTTGCTGCCTGACACAGTAGGACGCTGTCGTCGGGTCCTTACCCATTTTCCAAGTGATGGGGAAGGACTGAAGGGCCTGGCAGATACATGAGGAGGTGGTGAAGATGGACATTGCAGCAGAGAGTAAAATGGGACAGAAAGGGAGTAGGGTGAAGTCAAGGGAGTTTAAGTCTTCCCTTGCAGAGGGATATGCAAGAGGCTCATGCTGAAAATCAGGAGTCTGATGTGATGGAGGGCAGGCAGGCAAGAATGTACACCTTCCAGGCACCAGGTTTCTTCCAAATCTTCCCAGCCCACTTACAATAAACTGAACTGAAATGCCTGGGGAGCTAAGCACTGAAAAGTGGAGACTCTAGATTCAAAGCTGCTTGTACCGCTTTAATTCCTTGTATTTGCAAAGCAGGAAGAGAACAGGTATTATAAATTCCTGCGTCTTCCACAGAAAAACAGGTGCTGTGGACAGTAGCTTACAATTTATAGCAAAAGATTTCACAGATATCATATGAGCATGCACTGGATGATCTTAAAAGATATACCATTATCAAACAAGGGAATAGATTACTCTATCTTTTAATTACATTATAATTGACTTGTATGTTGTTGAGAAAGTAATTTCATCATGATGTTTTAAGAAGTTTCTAGCCAGAGGCTGTTTAAACTGCAGCATAATGAATGCTGGAGGAAATGATACAGTAAAATGCAAGGGCACACACTGATTCAGAGTTAATGAGGCAGCCAAGAGACTTCACCATATGAAAGTGCCCAGCGTTGTGGGCAAGAGTCAGCCCTGTTGAAAAATGACAAAATACAGTGATGATGCAGGGAGAACATGAACTCATAAGTGCCCAGTTGCTCTGTGGTACGTGGGGGAAAGCCACACACAGGGCTCCTCATTAAAAGTGACCTACATTATTCTGCCTTTTAGAGGCAAAAAGAAAGTTTGAAAGCATGACAATTACTCGGACTGATATCCTCTGTCATCCTGTGGAATAATGCATGGTAGTGCCCTAGTTGGTGGGTTTATTTTTTATGAATTGGAAATATGTGTTATCTAAACAATATAGACAAGGGGGAAAGGATGAGAAACTTGTTTCTGTGTAGAAATTGAGAAGGAAATATAATCCCTCAGAAACAAGCTTCTGCCCCCATTTTCAAATGTTCAGATGTTTTATTTCTACAAAACCTGTTATTGCAACAGTATCATTTTTATCTTTTGAGAAATAAGTTGTTAATAAGAAATATAAAGCTATCTTAAAAATTAATAGGCAGCAATAAAGTGTATAGTGAAACATTCTGAGATGGCAGCAGTAAAGTGACACAGCAAGAGTCACCTCAGATGCCAGTCCTAAGCTGTCACTGTGAGATCCTTAAACAGATGACTAGAAAAACATTAAAATTGGGGTTAAAAAGATTAATAGATTGCAAGAGTAATTTTGTTAAATACATTATCCAGAAACAAAGACTTTGTGTTTTAGAGAAAAAAAAATTGTCGGCTGACACTCATTCCCAGTTGCTAGATCATTTAGAAGAGTTTATTACCTAACAATAACCTTGAATATTGAAGAACAGCAGCTAAGCTGGGCATGAGTGTGTGAAAGTATTGAAGAGAGAACCAGAAAAATTGCTGTGCTGGGAAAGCAAAATCAGTGCATCTATTTCTGAAGTAAATTGCAATTAGTAAGAATAAGAATATGGGCCAAATTTTCCCAGTCAGTATTCACATAATGTTTCCCAAAGTGAATACAGTACATTATATAGTATGATGAAGCTGTTTAAGTGGCATATATGCCCTTATAATGGGATCTATCAGTGAGTGTCCCAGCAAGAACGGACAGTGTGATTTCCAGAGAAGAATAAAGCTTACAGGGACAGAGCCCCAGCAGATCTGTGGTAGCAGATATTTAGGGAGGTAAGAAGGGGTAATATGTACATCTGCTAATATTTTATGTATTTCTGGCTTCTCCGTTCCTGTACCAGTCCTAATTGCTACCTAATTTAATAGCTGCCCACCTCTTTATGACCACGCTTTTTTTGTTCTTGCAACTGGAGGCAGACATCCTCTGCACACGGAGAAGAAATTCAGAGTTCTTCCAGTGCTGTGTTCAGAGACTCAAAACAAATCATTTTCTTTGCCCATGGAAATGGAATTATTTTAAGACACAGTTGTTAAAAATATCCTGGAGTATTTTGCCAA